GAATCATATCATAATCATAAATACAAAGAGTATTGTCTAAACACGAGACACATAAACATGACCTACTGAACACTCCTCACTATCATTGGGATAAAATTACATTTGTAAGTGGGCGTCATTCAAGACGAGGTAGATTCTATTACAGTAAGGACGTTACAATGAAAAAAATAATTTGAAAGTTGTACACAATATTCCCTTTGCTTTTTTTTAACCAGCGCTAACCAATACATTTTCCAGATTTTCGGATTAAGGGATAAACGAGATATCTCGCTTAGCCTCCTACATAATAAAATTGTGTCCAGCTAAAGTGAGTCGGAACTAGAAGCGTCGGTGGTTAAAATTTCAAAGAAATATCTCCATAAATATGAAAGTTGGCATTGCGCAGTCTGCGCAAAATATGGAAAATACGAAACTGATCGAAATGGGCAAATATAGACCATAACGGCTATCAATTAGCGAAAACCCGAAGTCTCTAGGTGGCCCAGGAGCCGAGATCTCGATGGAACGGATGGACGGACGGACGGACAGATGGAAACACGAGCACATAAGCTTTACCTCAACTTCGTTGTGTTACGATAAAAAATTTAATTTAAACCAAGATGTGAATATTCGGTATTTTAATTTACAGTAAGGTAACCAGATAAAAACATCTATAACACCCACACAAGGTTGCGCTTAGGAATGACACCGATATTCCATACAGTAGCCCTTTATTCTAAAAATAACTGTGCTTTGCCATTTCGCGCGTCTTCTTACCCCGCCAGGTAGTTTGTACTATTCTCATAAAAACATAGCCGCTGGAGGACGCAGTCGACTTATTTGGCGGGACGAATTATGAGAGTCTAAAATTTATACAGCGCTGTCTATCTAGTGTAGTATGATCTTTGGTGGAACTCATCTGCAGATGGGACAATAGTTTCGTCATTTTTATTATTTAACAATTTTTTGCAGCATGATCCCATGATCTCAATATTATGCATAGCGAGCCATTTATAATTAGGAATTTATTGCCATCAGTAAATTTAAATGTGCGGCACTTCAAAGCTTAAAACATGCTGGGTCATACGCGTACCTTATAATGAAAACCATTTATTTTATCTCGCTTGCAATTAGCAGTTTGCATTAGTAATGGCGGTGACGTTGGTACAGAAATTGTACGATAATTCCGGTCTGCAGATAAAAACGCGACAATTGACGGGATCACTTAAGCGGCAGCTGCTACTGATTTTAGCGAAAAAGGTGCTTTTACAATTCAGATAAAGCCGACGCGATATGCATAATGTGAAAATTTTGCTTTTCCATTCGATGTGTGATAGATAAACATTGTACACGTCAAAAGCATCTGTTTGTACGATACTTTTTGTGACAGTTAGTATTAAGAGATATGATCATTTCGAAAGGAGAGTGAATGAAAAGACTTCGAAGCGAGGGTAGTTCGGAATCCGAAGCTTACATGGCTTAAAGCGAAATCCGTCCTTAGGCTATGAACCTGAGGTCTAATTCATAGCTTCTCTAAACACAAATGACGTTGATGGTCGCAGATGTAAATCCCAATCTAAATGAAAAAATACTTTAGTTTTACCACCGCATTTTACTTCCCGAATCTGTCAGATGCTTTAAATTGATTACCGGAGGGGTGGACGTATAAAAAAATTATCGGGGCGCACCCGGCGAAGATAGCGCGCGGTTATTGATAATTGAATTTGTTATCTATGCAGTGTTGATGAAGTAGGGAAAACTTTTCATAAAAACGAAAAACGGATGCTCACTAAATTGAATCTTTTGCACAATGATGAAGATAACAAAGTATTAATCAAGCCGGTTGGGGTAAGCCACAATGATATCAAATGTCCTAAGAGGCACGTGCCATAACCACTACTTATTGTGTATTTATTATCACCCTCGCGCCTTAAAACTACCCTGATTGTATAGAATTAGGATGACTGCGGGAGTCTAACTAACAGCCAACTTCGACGAGGGTGAACGTTTTCTTATTCTAAATCGGAAATTGAGCTTGTTTGACTCTGGAATTTATGAACTACAAAATTGAACATATATACAATCTCTCTTTGTGGAAAATCTTTTGGCACTCAAATGTTGTAGGCGCTAAATGTATAAGTACATATTTTAAAAACAATACCTATATCCCAAATTTGGTATAAGAACACAATACTAGACACTGCCCTTCATATTCAGGGGGCTCTCAAAGATTCCTTTGGTAGGTCGAATCTAGGCAAACTAATTTGTAGCAATTGTGTCACTGGTTCAGCACTTCTTGTAGTCGAAAAATAAAAATTCTTGTATCTTAGATGTTTATAGATTACCTTGAGTCTGAACAACAGAACAACTCTATAGATCAAACACCGATTGGGTTTTATTCCTTCTTGGATTTAATGCGTTGCAGTCTCTACAGCCTCTTAATGTAAAAAAACTTACCGTTTCGAGCGTGTCTAATAGTTTAATACGGTTTTCAAAAAATTGATATTTTGGTTGTAAGGAAAGCGAACAGGGCAATGATTGAAACTCGACGGTAGAGTGAAGTTGCAATATTTGTAGGCACGAAGTTCAAATTTTACACTGCTGCAAGGTAATATCTTTTCATTTAAGATTGATTAATTAAATTGAATGCATAATAGATTGCGTAATTTAAGGACACGACTTAATTACGCGCGGCCGTTGTTTTATTTAAATCTAGCGTTTGCGAAATTATTCTCCAAATAACGGTAATTACTTATTATTAATTAAAATGAAGCCGTGCGGAATTACGCTTCCGGCTAACGTCAATTATTTAGTTAACGTAAATGATATTAAATTCAGCTGAATGGATTAATTATTCCCTTCTGCTTGCCTCTTTTGTATTTTACTTGAGATTTCAATTTTAACACTCCATTAATACAAATTAATGTAAATTTGTACTAGTTTTAGTGGTTGCGAAACTTACGGTAGCTTGGTAAGTAATAAACCGATACAACGAAATATCGAAGGAACCTCAGTATAGAAGTTTCAGAAATTATATGTTACAATTCTTAAATTGATTAAACATTGTTGTGTAAACGTCATGTAGACATTATTTCCGTCTAAACGTCAATAATAATGACAGAGAACACCCTGTATACGAGAATATTTCAATTTATTAAGTAAATCCGGAGGGGATTATTTGCGAAATGAGCACAGAGTTGATTCGTTTCATTTAAATTTGTTTTTTTCATTTTAAAAATTTTGTAATACGTAAATCTGGTTTAAATGTTATCACTTTTGTAATTTATTCTATTTAACGCACGTATAATCACTGTTAAGATATAACGAAGACGCATGTGCGCATTAGATTTTGAAGTAGTGGTGGTGGTGACCTTTGACGCGTTCCGTCGTTGAGTGGCGAATTATTTGTAACTTTTTAAAGGAGTTTATTTGATGAACAAGAAAACGAGGCGATTATTAGTGCTATGAAAAAAATGTTACAATACGTCCTTGAAAATTTAAAAGTTTCTACCGTCCGTCATTTAATTCTGTGTTCCAAAGCTAAGTGAAGTTTAGAAGCTGTCAGCGTTTGAGTGAGTTTAGTGCGCCCTATATCGAAAACCTTGTACGATCAAATTATTTCCATTATTTAAAGAAAAACTGTAAGTAATTTTAGATTTCTTATTTTAATTCTCGACCGTCTGAGTGCGGGATAATATGCCCAAAAAAGCTTTCTTTCCCTCAGGAATTTTAATTTAGTTTGTTTTTGTGGGTTACGGAATGCATTTTTGTCATTGTCATTGGGTCTTTATTCGAATCCAAAGTGTGACCCAGATCGAGTTTTTCTCAGATTTTTTATTCGTGTCCACGATATATTTCAGGTGTTAATCAAAAAGTTCTTTGGAATTTTCGGAAGTTGGAAGGTCACCGAGTCTCATAAATTGAAAAATTTTAAGTTAATATTGGGATTTTTCTTCTAGACAATGCCGAATGTGTACGAGGAGAGATAAAATTAAAAGTTTCAATTGGGATTTGTTTTGAGCTAGGTGTTTTGTGCGTGTTGTAATGATACCATTTCACACAGCAATATCTGATTACGAAGATGGCATGCGATTTTCAGTAGGGGAATTTTTTGCCACTCAGCTCCCATTCGAAAACCAGACTTTTAATCTGACTCATATTCAATAGCACTGATCCTTGAACTCGTGGCGATCGATTGGCGAAGATTTGACGTGGCTGTCTCTTTTCGTTTCCGAGTTAAACGAGAAACAGACGGACAGACATATCAAACCATCACATAAGGGCAATTTTTTTTCTTCTGAAAAATTCCCCTAAAAAGCATTAATGTTTCTTTGTATGGTTATTTATAATGCAATTACAGTTGTAACATAAATCTATCATAAAAATAGATTGGGCAGCTCACTCAACGTTTTATATACGTTATATACGCTAGTTCAAACTTATGTAAAGAGAAAATTGCGGTGTTGCTTTGGTCATTGTTTATATTAAGAGAAATAGATTGCGCATGCACAACTAAACTTTCTTATTTGTGGATTAATTTTTCTCAAATTTTAAGAGATGGAATGACGGAATTAAATGTACATAAAAAATCGTTTGTACATATGTAATATGAATCTTATAAAACCAAAAAGAAATAACGCGTTAAAAAAAATTGATTGCGCATGCGCAGCGAAGTGCTAACTGTCTTATTTGGAGCCGGATTTTTCGAAATTTGAACAGATGACACTTCTTATAAATGGAAATTAAACGCACATTTAGAAAAATTCATTGCTCATGTGCAGATCAAATTTTCTTTCTTGCGGACAGCTGTTTTTTTACCTAAAGATTTTCGTTGCAAAAGCAATTTCTAGATGAAAAATGTCAGAAAATGGATGTACGGGCGTGTGGGCGAGTTTTTCTGAAATTTGATTGAAAAACGAATTTGGTCGGGGGAACTAATTTTTTTGCTTTTACAGAAATCGCTTTGAGCAGTTTATGTTGTGTCTGTACGGAAAAAATTGAGTTAATAGTATGGTACTTACCTGTTTTAACTTGATACTTCAAGGTAACGGAACAATCATGCACGAGTTGCTGCAATGAGACTCCTTCTATTGGAATTTTCAAATCTAGAAGCTTTTGCATCTCCTCGGGGTGATGAAAATCTAAAATCTTCTCGTTGCGATCATTCGTGGCCCGAATGAAATCCATGAGGACGTCGATCACTCTTTGTAGAAAAAGTTTACTGGTTTCATATGCATCTGGATTATGGGGCAATAGGTCTGAAAATAAAAGTGCACATTAGCAAAGTGTACATCGGCATGTAATAATTGAAGTAAATACAAAGCTCCCAAGGGTGAAGCCGGATTTAGTCCTTCTACAACCCTCCGCGTCGCCATCAGTCAAACACTTCAATCCTAAGCTAATCTCTTCACTATTTCCTAATTTCGAGATTTTCCTTACGTATTTATAAAGGTGGAGGTTTTTTTCCTATCGTCTCCTTAAGAGATTGATAGTGTCGGTCGTAATCTGCCTATACGCGGGGTAATCTCTAAATTTATGATAACGTCGATCCCACCGCCTATCTTTTATGCTTAATCGCACCCTGGAGAATAAGTGTGTATTTATTCTCTATTGTGATAAAAACGTAACATTCTTTAGAAAATCCGCCGTCATAAATTTACGTCTTCGCGTAGTTTAAGGTTAAATGTTTAGTAAATCGTCTCCCGAGACTTTTAATTAAACCTAAACCCACCCTCGGTGGTTAAAATTTTGTTACTCTCTAATAGAAAGAGGGGGGATCAGCGACGTTGCATAGGGGTGACTTATAGTCGCGTTAAGAATTAATTACACTACGCAAACACAAAACGTGTGTTTCTACGTAGATAACCAATCTGAATATTGGGACACGGCTTTGGACGGCGCACCATCAGTGAAAAAATCCATGTTGTATGCAAAGCTTTGGCTGGAACGGACTGCACTGAGACAATTTCGCTTTTTGTAATAAAGCTCCCCGGTCTATATCGCAGCCTGTGCCTTTTTAGGAACAGATGTTACCGCTAGTTCACCCTCGATATTTCCTTTTTCTTGCTACCGGAATGCTTGGAATTGAATGTACGTACGTCCCTCGTTTCGAACAATACGTTATTGAAATACTTGTGTCGTGTTTATCATTCCTCCGATTGAAAATTAGAAATTTTACAATAGGATGACTTCTGTTTTATTATTCAACTGTGAAATCGCATCGAAGGGATTGTTTTCCTCTATTTGTAAACTAGATTCATTCGTCGTTCTTAATCCCATCAAAATTTGCTGTGTAGATAACGTGAAAAGTTGTTTCCCTAAACATAGGAACCGAAAATAATATCTTTGCGCTTATTTGCTATGCGGCGTTGTGTTCAACTTTTCATATATTCCTCGAAGATATAGCCTAGAGTTTCCGCGATCGCCACTGAAATTCACATCGTTGGAATTGTGCTATTTTGTGGGCGAGTAGGAACGATCGTGTATGTACAAAATTCGAATTTGAAGTTTAAGGGGCCAGGATTTCAGTTCAAATTCTTGTATAATGAAAAGGTTCGTTTTCTTAGAATCGTACTCCTTTACTAGGGACAAAGGAAAATGAAGATGGGGTAGTAAAATGACTTCTATCGCATTTCAACTTAAGACGAAGATGGGACGTACAAAATGAAATGAAATAGCGCGAAAAACGTAGGTAACTTTTGTATCTTTATGGAGTTAGTTTTGTTGACCAATAGAAAACTGACATTATCATAGAAAAGTTAAAAGTTTGTAAAAACAATTTGAACACATACCTTCGACATCAACCAGTAATAAAAGAAAGTAGCATAACGACAAATATGCGACCTGCGTTTCATACTTCCGCTTATGAGAAAACAGCCCATCTCATTATCTATGAAAAGGGACCAAGTCTTTTTGAATTTTTGTTGCGCTTTCATCTGGATACCGTCTGTAGTATAATTAAAGAGCTGAGGTCCTATCAAAGATTTTTACTTAAACAGACTAATTATCACTTAGATGAATTCTTAAAAAAAATAAGTCTTTTGTGTGTTTTTTATTATATTGTTCCTTATTTATTTATGTCCAAAAATGTTATATATTTTCATGCACATCTTAAACGTTAATGTGTGTTTTACTTATTAATTTGTAACTATTTGACACATTTTGCGTATGTGTTGTTAATGTGTACCTATATATACATATTTACCGAACGTACTGGCAACAAATAATAAATGAAGTGAAAAAAAAATGAAATGAACAATTAAAACATCCTGTGTAATAATATTTGAAATGTGCACAATTAAGTTGTACCAAAGAGTACAACGAAAAGAGCGAAAATCATACGTATATTAACGTGCCGGTATGCGTTCCCCGTTCTCAGATGGCGTTAGTTTGTCCGGGAACACCTAGCTACGACATGCGTTTCCGTAAATTAAGTTACGAAAAATGTACGTAAGTTGTTCACTCTCATACTCGAGAGTTTAATTTAAATTTTCCACCACCGTTACGTTCCTTAGTTCCGGATAAGCACAAAAGTACCCCGTTTTTATAAAACATATAGTTTCTGTAAAAAATGCGTGTGACGATGCATTTCAAAAATTTTGCAACAGATGAACCGAGATGCTTCAAAAGTTCAAACCACGAGTCCACAAAATTGATTCCTGTCTTAAGTCTTATGCCATTGAATAATTATTATTCAATGCTTATACTTTTAACGCATGGGGAGTGCTTGTTTTGTGCACTTTCACTTTCAAAAGGTGTTCACAAAGGCTCTGGAACTACAGACTTGGTATTGGTGTTATTCGATCAGAAATTAAAAATTATTGAATGTTTATCTGGGAGCCATCCCCAAGCGTGCAGGCGGGCGAAGTAACGTGGTGATTTTTCAGTTTTTTCCTACATCTTTTTCTACAATTTTGGTCCGATTGTTTTCTAATTGGTGTCGTCGGAAAAATCTTGTAAACGCGCACAACTCCTGCGTGACGGAATTTTGTTTTTTTCCTTGGGACGAAATTAACCACGGCGAGATTAACCACCTTTGCTAGGCGCGCTTGAAGGGGTAGTCGACTTCGGCCGCCTAAAACATTCTTAAAGCTCTAATCGCGGTCTCGAGCTATAAGAACTGCCCCCAAAACCTTCATACTATTTTGTGAAGGATTTTTGGCGAAACCTTTCATTAGAACACTCTCATCACTCGAAGCGATTATTTGGCCTTCAACGCCGGGCTCTCCGCGCTACTACAGGAACCCCTTACAGAGCAGATATCAGGAGTAAATTAGCTCTTTGGATATACTCACGTTACTATGTTTGTCTATACATATATATGCGTGTCTACTGTATGCTAAGCAACAATCACATTGCTATACTCTAACAAAATCAAATCCATAATTACCGTACCAGGGGTGGTGAACTGGTGAGGCATCAATATATGAGATTGCAATGCAGTAGATATGGGGCCAATTATTACAGTCCTCGTTTTTGAACAAATTACCTCGCAACGTAGTAAGGCTAACATCCAAAACATTCAAAACTAAAATTAAGACATTTTTATAAAAACAAAGTTTTTACGACATTAACGAATTTTTGAATTGCCAATGGTCTTCATCCGATTTCAATGTAAGTTAGTCATTAAATGTTTTTGTCCCTTGTTTTTTATCCTTTTCAGAATTGACGTTTATAAACAAAAAATTTATACCATGAAGGGTAGAATGTGTGTTTACCCCCCCCCCCCCCCACAAAAGTTTTCCTTAGCACCACTAAAGGCATGCGTATACAAAATGTAAGACCAATTATTGGTTGTCGTATAGTTATGCACGTCTTACTATCAAAAACAGCATCTCAGGTTCAAGGTATAGGCTACCTATTGCCAAAAATTCCAGGACTCCCATTCCCCTAGAAGTAATTCACAACGGTAGAAGTAGGTCCGGACGCACGGAAGGACAAAACGCAAACAATAGCACCTTTTTTTTCTTAAAAAATGCAATAAAAACACTATAGGAAGTACAACCTACAACATGCTTAGGATGACAATGAATCCCCTTGCTCGATGCGCAGGGATGATCGTGGTATCGCTGGTTGGAAATTTCATCAATTTTACAATCCTAATTCTTAATGTTCAATTATTGGCTACCTAATTAATTTAGAAACAAAGTTTATTTATTTTTTGTATTGTTTTATTCAATGCTTAACGAAGCCGAAGGTTTCAGTCAAGGCTTATAGTAAATTCAAAAGGTAAGGTACGGGTTTAAAATTGCAGGAAGATAAATAAAATAAAGTGTAATAAGCAATTTAAATCCTTGAATGACGCCCACTTGTAACTCGAAGCGCGCGTGTGTACTCGCATGTTATGAAGCGAGCCTTGTGTAGAGGATTAATAATCTCTGTCAGGGACTTCGTTCGTAAACCAGGTGTCAAATTCTTGACAGAATAGCTTCCTAGCTGAAAGCGCATGCGCAACACGATTTTTGCGCATGCATTTTGTTTGCTTTTATTAGAGGGACCTACCATCCAATTTTCGTTAAAATTGCTCCATAAATAAGAAAGTTGGATGTTGCACATGCGCAACTCGATTTTTTGCGCATGCATTTTGTTTTCTTTTATTAGGAGGACCTACCATCCAAATTTCGTTTTAATTGTTCCATAAATAAGAAAATTGCATTTCTGCGCATGCGCAACACGATTTTTGCGCATGAATTTTGTTTGCTTTTATTAAAGGGACTTACCATAGAAATTTCGTTTAAATTGCTTCAGAAACAAGATCGTTGCGTTTTGCACATATGCAACACAATTTTTTGACTTTGACAATTTTTTTCTCCGTTTTTTGATAATATAACCCGGCCCAATTTTTTGTAGGTTGTACACAGGAAAATAAGGTCTTCCAAATAATAGAATAAAAATTTTAGGTTGCTATTTGAAAAAAAAAGTTCGATGCCGTTACGGCGCTCCAAAATTTTTTTTCAAAAATCCGGCCCGTTATTTTTCTGTTCGGTATGCCTAAAACATATATACAAAATTTCAACAAAATCCGTCGAGCCGTTTTCTCAGAAAATTGCCAACAAACGTACGTACATACAGACGGAAAAAAAATTTGTTCTTTAAAAGTTGCTTAAAATGGTCTAAAACGTCGACATTTGATGAAATTTTGAAATGTTCAAAAAACGGCTATCGCAATAGCTACCTAGCACAAGCTAGGAAGCTAAAAATACAAAAATCACTTGTAGGCAACTAACATTACACTGACACGCAAATTCTCATAGGATTT